GGCTCAGGCAATCCACTCACCTCAGCCTCCCAGAGGCGCGGGATTACAGGCTGACCCACCAAGCCCAGCCGCATTTTCTTGACCACAACCCCCATCAGTAAAAAGTCTGCGCACTCATGCCCAACAAATGTATATCTGTTTATTTACACATAATTTACAAGCCAGACTGCACTAATATAACATACTCATAACAAAACACACATTAAGTTAGGAATGCTAACGCTTAACCTCAAGGGCTATCTTGAGAACAACTAGAAAACCGGAATCCTGCCGGGGCACCATGGCTCACACCTATAATCCTAGCACTTTTGGAGGCCAAGGTGAGTGATTGCCTGAGCCCAGGGGTTCAAGGCCAGCCTGGGCAACTTGGTGGGATCTCATCTCTACAATAAATCAAAAAATTAGCCAGGCATGGTGGCACGTGCCTGCAGTTCCACCTCTTGGAAGGCTGAGGCAGAAGGATTGCCTGAGTCCAGCAGGTCGAGGCTGCGGTGGTCCTGAGCGTTCCACTGCACCCCAACCTGGGCGACAGGGTGAAACTCCAACTCAAAAAGAAAAAGAAAGTTGGAATCCCCTTGAGAGACCACCATGGAAAACCAGGAGCTCCCCTCGAGTAGCAAACACCCTGTCTGGCTCAGACAGTGTCCCCGGCCACCATGCAAAGTGCCTGCACACTGTATTGCTACTTTCCAGTGGGGATAGCAGATATTGTCCAGTGCTATGTGCCTGACACTGCTCCAGAAATATCACAAGCACTAACTTATTTAATTTTCACAATAGCTCAGGAGAACTGGGCCTGTTTTTATGCCCAGATTACAACCGGGGCGCAGAGAGGTGACATGATTTGCCCAAAGCCACACATCACGTGTCCCCAGTGAAATTTGAACACTAGCAGGGCCGCTGAATTAGGCTCACCGGACCCCCTCCCTTGGGAGCGCTGAGTGACTCTTTCTTGAATGAATGAATGAATGAATGAACGAATTAAACAATCAAATCGCCAAAAGAGAGACAGAGACACAAACTGCACAAAGAGACAGAGACACACACAGGAGACACAGGGAAGGAAGGGAACAGAACCGAGCTCTGGAGATTTTACGCTGATCCTGAGCGGGAGAACGGCAAATCTGAGATGTCTACACAGACCCAAACCCTCCGGCGAGGGCGCCAGCCAGGAACGCCCTTGAGAAGGTCCGCAAGGCCAGGATTCGGGGAAGGGGCGGGGCCTGCGGTGGGCGGGGCCATCGGGCCGGGGACATTCCGGGGGGCGCCCTGCTCACCCCGGGTCTGCCGAGTCAACTATGAACGTCGTGCAGGTCTTCTTCTTGAAGATCTTGGGGATCCAGCTCTGGGGACAGGAACGAGTGGCGGGGTGGGAGGGGGATGGGGACCCAGTTCGGTCCTACGGGACCCAGAGTCACCCGCCCGTGCCCTCCTCGCGGGCGCAGGGGTCCCGGACCCCAGCGCCATCCTCCCCAGACGCAGAAGTCTCGACCCTCACTCAGCCCCCCTTCTGCCCGCCGCCGGGACCCTGCAATCCGGGGATCCCCCGCCCCCCTCCTTCCTCCGACCCAAGAATCTGGGTGTCCCGCGTTCCCCCCTGCCCCGCCTGGGAACCTGGCTCCCTCAGCCCGCAGCCCGGCGTCGTACCTGCTCCTTCTCCGGCCCCACCATGCTGCCGCAGCCGCCGCAGCCTCCGCAGCCCTCGGACGCCGGCGTTCCCCCGGCCAACTCCTCTCGCAGACCCGCCCTGGACAAACCGGATCCGCCACTTTCCAGCCCCAGCCCGGGGCGGGGCGGGGCGAGTCCGGGGGCGGGGCTGGGGCGGGGGGCGGGGCCTCTCGGGGACGCGCAAGCGGGGGGCGGGGCCGAGGCCGTGAGAAAGTGACTGAGCGGGACACGGTGACCCCGGGGGGTGCAGAGGCCGGGGGTGGGGTGTGGAGGGCGAGGGGCTCAGAGGAGGGGAAACTCCGAGGACCGGAACGAGAAGGGGAAAGAGACGGGAGACAAAGTCTCAGAAGGGCAGATGCCAGAGATGAGGGAGGGGACATATTAACCCCAAGAGAGAGGGAGACAAAGACTTGGGGCAGAATCAGAAAGTTGCGGGGGCAGCCGGGCTCGGTGGCTCAGCCTGTAATCCCGCGCCTTTGGGAGGCTGAAGTGAGTGGATGGCCTGAGCCCGCGGGTTCGAGACCCGCCTGGGCAACTTGGCGAGACCTCATCTCTACAATAGATCAAAATGAGCTGGGCAACTCAAAAAAACCCCAGAAAGTTGGGGGGGCAGAGACCAGAGAGGAGGGGCCCATTGACAGAGGGAGAGAGAAGACTTGGTTGGGGTGCAGAGACTCAGAGGGGGGATAGAATCCCAGAGGGAAGGACAGAGACCCTGAGGGGGCACACACCCAGAAAGAGGGGACAGAGACCCACAGAGGTGGATGCCAGAGATGGAGGGGGAGGACACATTGATGAGGCGGGAGAGATACAAAGACTTGGGTGATGCTGGATGTGGTGGCTCACACCTGCAATCCCAGCACTTTGGGAGGTGAAGGTGAGAGGATCGCCTGAGCCCAGGGGTTGGAGACTAGCCTGGGCAACTTGGGAAGAGTTCATCTCTACAATAAAAATAAATTAAGAAATAAAAATAAATTTTATTTTATTATTTTATTTTTATTTTTTATTTTTTGAGTCAGAGTCTCAGTCTGTCGCCCAGACTGGAGTGCCGTGGCCGCTCCCGGCCCCCGCAGCCTCGACCTGCTGGGCTCCGGCGATCCTTCCACCTCAGCCTTCTGAGTAGCCGGAATTACAGGCATGCGCTACCATGCTCGGCTGATTTTTTGATTTATTGTAGAGATGAGGTCTCGCCAAGTTGCCCAGGTGGGTCTCGAACCCGCGGGCTCAGGCAATCCACTCACCTCAGCCTCCCAAAGCGTGGGATTACAGACTGAGCCACCGAGCCCAGCAAAAATAAATTTTAAAAACATAGCCAGACCCGGTGGCGTGTGCCTGTAGTCCCAGCTACTTGGGAGGCTGAGGTGGAAGGATCGCCTGAGCCCAACAGGTCGAGGCTGCGGTGGCCGGGAGTGTGCCACTGCACTCTCCAGCCTAGGGGACAGAGTGAGACTATGATTCAAAAAAAAGAAGAAAAGAAAACTTGGATGAGGGGCAGAGACTCAGAAAAGGGGCCACAGAGATTTAAGGGAGGGGGCATACTGATCTACAGAGGGAGGGAGACAAAGACCTGGTTGGTGGGTAGGCACTCAGAGCAAGAGGGGGAGACAGAATCCCAGAGCGAGAGGAGAACGGAAGACAGGGGCCCTGAGAGACCAGGTGACAGAAACAAGAGAGGGGTGGCCCACAGAGAGAGATGGAGACCCCAAGAGTGAGGACAGTCATGACAGGTGAGGAGTGGGTGACAGTGACACCCAGAGACAGGCAGGGCCACATGTCTCCTGCCAGCCCTCTGTGATGCAGACAGCTGGGATCTCTGTAACCTGAGTCCCCCCTCACCCCTCACCCCCGCTGTATTTATAGCCCTGGCCTGGCCCAGTCCCCTGTCCCCAGTTCTGATTTCCAGGGACAGGAGGTCACGGGTACATGTGTTGGGGGCAGGGTTCCTTTCACCCCATTCCAGGGCCTTCATAATGGGATCACGCTCTCCCCAAAGCACCCCATTCTGGCTGGAAGCCCCAAAATCTAACCCCCAATCATTCCATGACAGGAGTCTCTCCCCTCTGCTCTGTTCTTCCTGGCCCCCATGGTGTCCTGGGATCCTCCCAATTAGTCTACTAAATTAGTTTTTGTCTTTGCAGCTGCCAGACATGAGCATTGGGAGGTCAAAGTTAAGCCCCTGAGCCCCTCATCTCCTGCCTGGGAGAGGAGACCCCTTCACCCATTCCCTCCCCAGCTGAGAGGGGGAGAAGCAGGAGGGGGGCAGGCGGGGACTGACCCAGAATAACTCAGGGCTGAGAGTAAATTTAGCCGTAGAGAGGGGAGGGGAAAGACCCTATTGGCTGGGGAGTGGGAGGGAGGGCCCCACAGGGAGTCAGGGGACTCCAGAGACGGCCTGAGGGGTATCCAGAGCCGGGGAGTGAGGGCCAGAAGAAGGCAGACGGGCAGAGACACAGGGAGACAACGCGAAGGAAGAGTCAGACCCACAAGGGACAAGGACCCCGACATTCCTCCACGTAGCCGCAGAGGCAGCTGCAGCTGGCCCTGGGAGAAGCTCCACTGCCTGTCCGTCCCCATGGGCCACCGAGGGCCATGGCTGCACACTTCTCTCCTCTGGGCTGCCGTGGCCAGCCTGCTCCTCCCCCCCGCCATGACCCAGCAGCTGAGAGGGGCTGGCCTGGGCCTTGGCAACTGGAACAACAATGCAGGAGTCACTGGGCCCCCCGAGCACGTGTCCACAGAGTTTGGTCACCACATCCATGGCCCTAGAGACCATCAGGATGAGAGTGAGGATGTGTCCACAGAGAACGGGCATCATTTCTGGAGCCACACAGACCACGGAGAGGAGGACGAAGACCTCTCCAGGGAATATGGCCACCGAGGCCAAGGCCACAGGTACCAAGGCCATGAGGTTGGAGACGAGAATGTCTCTGGTGAGGAGGTCTCCATGGGGCACACGCGGCAGCCCCGGGGGCACAGAGGCCATGGGAGTGAAGACACAGACGACTCAGCTGAGCATGGGCACCCTCCCCTCCACCACAGGAGCCACGGCCACCAGGACGAGGATGAGGACGAAGTTGTCTCCAGTGAGCACCGCCATCACATTCTCAGGCATGTACGTCAAGGCCATGGCGGGGAAGAGGATGATGAAGGAGAAGAGGAGGAGGAGGATGTCTCTACTGAGTATGGACCCCGGGCCCACAGGCACCGAGGCCACGGGAGTGAAGAGGAGGAGGATGCCTCTGATGGACACCACCGTCACGTCCCCAACCATGGGCATCCAGGTCATGAGCATGAGGATGATGCCTCCGCTGAGAATGGGCACCAGGTTCACAGACACCGAGGCCACGGGGGTGAAGAGGACGAGGATGGGGAGGAGGACGAGGATGGGGAGGAGGATGAGGATGTCTCAGACGAACATCATCGTGTCCCTGGCCACGGGCACCAAGTCCACAAAGAAGAACACGATGAGGAGGAGGAGGAGGATGTCTCCACTGAATATGGAAACCAGGTCCACAAGCACCAAGGCCACAGGAAGGAAGAGGATGAGGATGTGTCCAATGAACATCGGCACCGAGCTCCCAAGCGTGTCCACCATGGCCTTGGAGATGAGGAGGAGGAGGAGGAAGAGGAGGAGATCACAGTCCAGTTCAGCCACCATGTGGCAAGCCGCCAGCCCCAAGGCCACAAGAGTGATGAGGAAGAGGACTTCCCAGATGAGTATAAAACAGAAGTGTCTGGCCATCGCCACCACGGAGTCTCCAGGGAGGAAGATGAGGACATCTCTGCCGAGCTGGGCCACCCAGCCCCCAGCCACCGGCAGGGCCACCAAGATGAAGGGATAAGACATGGTCACAGGGGGTCCATGAAAGAGATTAGCCATCAGACCCCAGAACACACAGAGGTCAAGGATAGAAGCCATCTGAGGGGCGGTGATTCTGAGGAGGAAGAGGAAGAGGATGATGAAAGTTCAGAGCAGGGAGAGGAAGGCATCCGCCATGGCAGCCTGCACCAGGAAGACGAAGAGGACGAGGAGGAAGGTCATGGCCTCAGCCTGAGCCAAGAGGAGGAAGAAGAGGAAGACAAGGAGGAAGAGGAGGAGAGGAAGGAAGAGAGGGCTGAGGCTCGGGCTCCACTGAGCCAAGTCCTCAGGGAGGAGGAAGAGGAAGAGGAAGAGGAGGGGCTGGAGGAAGATGAGCTCCCTTTCACCATCATCCCCAACCCACTGGCTGGGAGAGAGATGGCTGGAGGTGCCTCAAGTGAGGAAGAGAGTGGTGAGGACACAGGTAAATGGCCTGGCAGTGTGGGGGCAGGGAGCGGAGTCAGCCTGGGTCACTGCCGCCCACCTGTCCCCACAGGTCCACAGGATACCCAGGAGTACGAGAACTACCAGCCAGGGTCTCTGTGTGGCTACTGCACCTTCTGCAATGTATGTCCCCAGCCCAGACCCACCCACCAAGCTATCCCTGGAATCTGTCCCAGGGGTCCTGGGGCACCATGAGAAGGCTCAGAGCACAGGAGGGGCAGGGTCAGTTCTTCTGTGGCTACATGAGGGGCAGACCAGAGGCCAGGAGGCTGGGGAGGAGTCTGAGGCGATGGTCCAGGAAGGAGAGGGCGAGACCTGATGTGCACCCGGGAATGTGGGGAGACACCAGGATCTGTGGAAAAGAGAGTCAGGGATGGGAGGGGCAGGATGGGGGACTGACAGGCAGGGGGAGGATAGGGAGGGGGAGTGAAGAGAGCTCCTGAAATCCAGCTCACCCTGACTGGGGGAGGTGAGGTCACCCTGAGATAGAAAACCAAGGGCAGGGAAGAGGAGAGAAGCTGGCTTGGGGGCAAGATACTAAGCTCAGTGTGGGAGATCAGGACGGTGAGGAGGCTGGGCATACGCCCAGGGCTCAGGGGTGGACAAGTGGCGGGTGTGTCCCAAGTGGGGTTAGCGTTTCCATCTAACCAGGCTCCTCCGGCCCCCAGCGATGCACCGAGTGCGAGAACTGTCACTGTGATGAGGAGAACATGGGCGAGCACTGCGACCAGTGCCAGGTGAGACCTAACCTCGGACTCGGCTCCACCGAGCACCCCCAGCCCTAAATCCTGGCCTCTGACCCCCTACCTGGCCCAGCCCCTTACCCCTGAGGCAGCCTTGGTTCCACACCCATTCCTGACCTTGGCCTAGACCTAGCCTCTGTCCCGGGTGCGGTCCCCGCCCTCGTCCTGGCTCCGCCCCTGGCCACGCCCCACGCTCACTCTCTCTCCCCATCCCCGCCCCCAGCATTGTCAGTTCTGCTACCTCTGCCCGCTGGTCTGCGAGACTGTCTGCACTCCGGGTGAGCAAGGGTGGGGCCCAGGGAAAACTCGAGGAGGGGCCGGGCCCAGCAAGGTGAATCCCGGTAGCGGCGAAGCCAAACGTGAGGGGCTGCTGGCCCGGAAGGTTGGCGGGGCGGGGCTAGAAGGGGAGGGGCGTGGCCGAGGCTGTGAGCACGTGGGCCGGGGCCGGGACGCACGGGCCTGGAACCGAATGGGCGGGGCCAAAGTAAGTAGGTCTCGGAGGGGCGGGGCTACTGAAGAACTGGAACACCCAAAGCAAGAAGGGGCGGGGCCTTTGGAGCAGTCCCAGTAGAAGGGGTTCAGTTCGAGGAAGGAATTAAGAAAAAGAGGGTGGAGGGCAACCCCTTTGGGTCCCCCCTCAATGTGGGAGCTTTTCTGTCCTCTCAATAAATCCTGCTTTAAAAAAAAAAAAAGACCAGCCGGGCTCGGTGGCTCAGCCTGTAATCCCGTGCCTTGGGAGGCTGAAGTGAGTGGATTCTCCTGAGCCCGCGGGTTTGAGACATGCCTGGGCAACTTGGTGAGACCTTTAACTCTACAATAAATCAAAAAATCAGCCGGGTGTGGTAGCGCGCGCCTGTAGTTCCAGCTACTTGGAAGGCTGAGGCAGAAGGATCGCCGGAGCCCAGCAGGTCGAGGCTGTGGTGGCCGGGATCAGTCACTGCACTCCAGTCTGGGCGACAGAGTGAGACTCCAATTCAAAAAAAAAAATAAAAAGACCAAATCACAGCTGGGTGCAGTGGCCAGGTGTGGTGGCACACACCTGTAGTCCCAGCTGCAATGGAGGTCGAGATGGGAGGATTGCTTGAGCCCAGGAGTTCAAGATGAGCCTGGGCAACATAGCAAGATCTCTTTTTTCAGAAAGAGAGAGAGAGAGAGAGAGAGAGAGAGAGGGAGGGAGGGAGGGAGGAGGAGGGGAGGAGGGAGGGAAGAGGGAGTGGGGAGGGAGGAAAGGGAGGGAAGGGAGGAAGAAGAAAATTACCTGGGCATGGTGGCATGTATCTATAATCTCATTACTCAGGAGGATGAGGTCAGAGGGTCACCCGAGCCCAGGAGGTCAAGGCTAAGATGAGCCTTGACTGCACCACAGCACTCCAGCCTGGGCGAGAGTGAGACTCCAACTCAAAAAAGAAAGAAAGAAAGAAAGAAAAAGAAACAGAGTGGAGCTAGCTCTAATCCCACACTCTATACTGAGTGGTCTACCCGATCGTGGGGTACCCTCAAGCCTCTTTTCTCTGCTCTCCCGCAGGAAGCTACGTCGACTATTTCTCCTCGTCCTTGTACCAGTAAGTGCAAGGAGGGGGGACGTTGAAGGGCCCTAATGTTTAGAGAAGCGCTGCCCCGCTATGAGTTATTGGACGACTCTGGGACTCCATTTGCCCGTCCGTGAAATGGCCAGGATAATGGTCTCTAAGCGTCCTGGGCTGAGCTTTGGACCCTTCGGCTGCCTAACCTCTGCGTCCTCCTCTCCAGAGCCCTGGCGGCCATGCTGGAGACGCAGGAGCCTTGACCTCCCCGTGCGGCTGCGACGGAGATGTGCCTCCCCCTCCTCCGCGCCCTCCAACCCCCATTCCACGAGCCATATTTATTTCTCTGAATAAACGCACTCCCTGAAACCTCATCGTCAGGCATGGGTCTGAAATTCTCCGGAAATCAGGGCACGCGGGTGGGGACTAAGGACTGGACTCGGGCCTGAGGAATGAGGGGCCTGGACTCCTGGCTCCTCCAGGCGGCTGGTTTGCATTCCTAACCCTAACCCGAACCCCCAGAAATCGGCCAACACGGGAGCTTTTTGAAACAGTTCTCTTTACCCGTGATCACTGAGTGACGCCTGGGGCGGGGAGGCCGACCGAGAGTCGGGGGCAAAGGCTCCCCCGCGTCCCCCCTCCCCCACACCACGTCGCCCAGTGGCATCGTGGAAAGAGGATTCTCCCATGCAAACCCCGGAGCCGGAGGGGAAGGGGGAGCGCAGTTCTGCGCCCCCTACCCCCGGGGCACGGACACGGCCACAGCACGGGGAGCGGGGAGGCCCCGGGGACACGAGACACGGGGGAGGGAGAGGGGACCCCGCCCGCACGCGGCGGGGCGGGGCTGAGTGGCACGGGGGCGAGGCTTGTAGCAGCGAGTCCCCCCCTCCCCTCCTTTCGGACGAAGAAGGAAGACTTGGGCCCCGCGACTGGGCAGGAAAGAGGGGCGGGGGCAGCCTCTCCCCGCATGCGGCCCGGGAGGGAAGCCCCGCCCCCTTCCCGCGGGTAAAGGGCGCCCGTCTCCCGCCGGAAACTGATCAATAAATTACAAAGTAGAGAAAAGGAAGGCGGACGTTCGGGGCGGGCTCCTCCCGGCCCTCTTCTTCCCCCCCTCAGTCCAGTTCATGTGGTTTGGTCCAGGCCCGTCCGAGCGTGGGGCGGGCACACGCGCTCCCGCTGGTCTGCACAGATGGTCCAGTCCGCGGCGCGAGTTCCCCGCCCGCTCTCCCCGGCGAGACCACACTCTGGACAGGAAAGGGAGCCGCCCAGCCTCTGAAGAGTCTTCCGTTCGAGTGAGGAGGTCACCTGCAGGGACGCCGGGCAGCGCGTGGAGCGGTGAAGATCCACGGTGCCGCCCCGCGCCCCCGAGGTCGCCCGGCACGGCCCCTCACCTGGAGGCCTACACTAGCAGGAATAGGTCCGGACCGAAACGCCGTCTGCCCGGGAACTCCCAGAAGTCTGGCCTGGAGGGGGAGCGAGCGGCCGTTCAGCCTGGCGCACCCCCTCCCAGCTGCTCCCCGGGGCTTCTCTCGAGCTCTGGCCTCAGCCCCTCGGATGCCCTCCCGAGCCACCGCGCCCGCCGGGCTCCACGTCGGTCTCCCTCCCCTCCCCGCGGCCAAGGACTCAGATTCGCCTGGGCAAGCTCATTTCCCACCCCGGGAAAGGGGTGTGGGATGAATCCATTCCGTTCCGAAGAGGGAGTCTGGCGCACTGGAGCAGTCCATTCCTCGCGGGCGGGGGAGAAAGGGCTGGGCCATCTCAGAACCCGGAACGTTGAGCTGGTCCGTTTCCCACCCTGGGGAAGGGGAGGGGAGGAGCTGCGGCCGCGTCTGGGAGCCCTCTACCTTCCGGCTGCAGCTTGCGGAGAGGGAGCCCCGGCGAGCCCAGGGCTCCCGCTGCAGCCGAACGAAAGTTGGGGGGCAACATCTCAGCCGAGTCTGGGGTCACGCCTCGGAGGTCCTTCTCTCGGAACATCTTCCTCCAGGAGGGGGAGCGGCTGAAGGACTTGGCGCTGTCCTAGGTACAGGAGCCAGGCAGCCGGTGAGGAACCGGGGCCCGTCTGACTCCGCCCCTTCCCGGCCTCGGGCGCCC